GTAGGCATTAGGCACTAGGGGGCAGTGTGGTCTCTCTCCTTTTTAGTATTTTTTTGCTCTCAAATATAGAAATATACCAAGAGTGAAATAAGCACAGTAACAAAATAAATACACATTTTCTTCTATAGTCTCCTATAATCAAAGGATACAACCATAGAGGGATTAATAATTCTTTGAAATTCTGTCACCAAACAACATAAATTTTACAGACTTAATTACCAAGCTCAGACGTGCCTTTCAGTAAGATGACCAACTTTTTTACAATGAAAAGGATACAAATAAATTGAAGAAAAAAATATCGTAAATAAAAGAAACATTTTATTCATTGCAACAATAATACAGAATACACTATAATATGATAAATGCATAATAAAAACATTTGTAACAATAACATTTTATATTGTAATTATGCTTACATGCTGCACCTCCGCCCGCAGCCGCCCTGTCAGCACTGCTGCCCCGCCGTGTAGAGCAGGCCCCGCGGCTCCCAAAACACCAGCTGTGCCGGCTCCGGCTCCGGCCCGGGGGGCAGCCTGCCATCGACACACCCTGCCTGCAGCCGCCCTGCCAGCACCACCGTCCACCCTGCGCAGCCCCATGTAGAGCAGACCCCACGGCTCCCACAGCATGGGGGCAGCTGGCCACCGCCGCCCCTCACACCCCGGCCCGCAGCAGCCCCGCCACCCCGCCTCTTGCTCCCGCAGCCATTATTGCCCTAGCAGGGCCAAAGATCAAGAGAAAGTTACTGTGGCATCGCCGCTCCAGTCTCCTCCAGGTATCTTCGGGACTAACTAGGAGATGGGGTAGTTGGCAGCAGGGAGGGGTGCAAAGTTCCTGCCAATTCGCCTTCGCTGCAGACAATTTACATGTGCAAAGTTTGCCGGCCAGGTGTTTTGGCACGCTCAGCAGCAATTCCTATTGGCTTTCAAAGAATAGGGGGAGTAGCACAGCTCATGCAAAAGTTGAAAAAAAAAACATCAAAAAAGGTGCCGGAACGCCATTCTGAGCATTCTATGAGAGAAAAAAAGCCCTGCAGATTAGTCTTCAAAGACTGAAAAGGAGGACATGTAGGAGGACACTTTTTGAGGGAGGACAGAACTTACAAAAGGAGGACTGTCCTCCCTAAAGGAGGACGGTTGGTCACCTTACTTTCAGGTCAACTACTAAATAGGGAAAGTGAGATCACTGAACTGCAAGGGCTGATTTCACAGTAATTCTATAAACAGGACTAGATTGTAAAAAAAGAAAAGAAGCTCTATCATTTTGTGCTGGAATTTAATGGAGTTGAGTTTTTTAATCTTATATCAATACCGAAGTTGAGTTTCTCGAATACATGGAGACAATGGTAAATTTTCCCTTTGCTCAAGCAATCATACTCTACAGCACTTTGTTCCAACTGATCAGGGTTACAAGCAAGAGTATAAGGTTTTTCAAGCTAAGGCAGTCCCTCAGCTCCTTTATGGCTCGCAAATATGTTCACTTGCAAAGCTTAATGCTATTGAAATTATCCAAAATAAGTTTATTAGAGCCATACTGATGGTACCTAAAAGTATCAAAAATGCCATCCTATGGGTAGAAATAGGTACAGTTTCATTGAAAGCTAGAGCATAGTTCTTCTTACCTTTTGGCTAAAGTTAATTTTGATGCCTGTAGGTTTAGCCCCATTAGTATTTATACAGTAGATCATTTTAAATCGTCGTGGGGAAAAAAAAGCCCTAGATAAAATTAAATTGCTGGACTTCTCTATGGAAAGTCTGTGTTCATTAGAATTTGATAATGCTAGAACTGCCTTGAAACAACAAATCTGGGATATTGATCTCCAAACAAACCTAAGTAAGGTGGCACATTCCAACATTTGTCACTTGCTTCCAGAACGATTCTTTCCAGCTTCTTATCTATTTTCCATTACAATTTCAAAATTTCGTAAAGCTTTCACCTTAGCCAGGCTGGATGCATTGCCCTCAGCAGTCCTTTTTCGACTGTTTAAGGGCATTCCTATGCATTTTGGACAGTTTAAGGGCATTCCTATGCACCTTCGGTTGTGTCCATGTGGTGATGGCTCTATAGAAACTCTAAGCCATATGTTGCTTCATTGATCTTTATATAAAGACTCTAGACAGATTCTTATATATCCGATATTGAAGAAATTTCCAGGCAGGGGATATGAATTTTATCTAAAGTTGCTACTTTCAGATAAGGATCCGAAAATATCAATTCAGGTTGCCCAATTTTGTGCCACCATTTGCACAATACGTCGCACCATTATTAAGGTCTGAATTTTTTTTTTAATATGATGTTTTATTTTGAGAATTTGGGATTATATTATATTGATTGTTTGGTGGTTTTATATCCTGTAAATATGGAAGTAAAATTGCTACTGTTGTTATACATTTTGATTATACAGATTGATTGCAAGAGTGTAATGCAAAGACAAGCAAATGCCCATTCCAATGTATTATTAGTTAGAATTATATCCACCCATCCATGCTCAGGCTTACAACATATGACATGAAAATACAATGTTTTTAAATGCAATAATGAGTAACCTTAAAAATCAAACTACAGTTAAAAGCCTAGAAATAAAGGTCTACCTTCCCTTTTCCTACATATTGAGGAGGGAGGACGGGGGACAAACATACGTCTCTATGTATCTAACAGACCTCCCAGCACAGGAACATTGTCAAAATTGCCTCTTTTTTAAATTTAAGGTTTTAGCAAGTTCACAATGGAAGAGGCAGCATTAAAATGCTTAAATCAGTGGTTCTCAACCTTTTTAATGCCGCAACCCCCCAATCGGTCGTAAGTCGAGGACTACTCAGCTGGTCGTAAGTCGAGGACTACTCAACTGGTGCAGCACCGTTTGCAGAATGGGACTTTTGGCGGGCTCAGCAGGGCAGAGACAGCCTGGATAATTCCTATTGGCTTTTGAAAGCCAATAGAATTAGACTCTATTCAAGAGAGTCTATTCTATTGGCTTCCAAAAGCCAATAGAATAAAAGGGAGTAGCACAGCTAAGGAAAAGGGGAAAAAAATGGCAGACTGCGTTGTTTGGCGACCCCCGAGAAATGGTCGTTCGACCCCAAATGGGGTCCCGACCCACAGGTTGAGAACCACTGGCTTAAATGATCTCTAGGAAGGACACAAGTCCTATACCTTGCATGCCTTAGGGGCCAAGTCCCAGTCTTTTACAATTTCAAGATACTTTTCAAGGTAAGACCCCCATAAAGTTCACTGCCATAGCCAAGATAGGATAAGGAGAGGATAACTGTCACTAAGTACAACCAGCTCACAAAAGGTCAATGCTAACACATTGGCCCCTTCAACACATAGCCTAACAGGATGACCAGAAGCACTTAGTGTTCCTTAGGCCAATACCAGAAAATAATTTAGAAAAATACCATAATTGGTTTTATGAAAATCTGCCAAAACATTCAAGGAAATTAGCAACAAGGTGCAATTTTCCTACATAGGCAAAGGTGATTAAGGAAGATGACCAAGCCAGTTCCAATCCCAAACAAAATCCAAATGACAATGACTCCAGGTAGTCAAGTGAATTGGGCTCTTCTCAGTTACTTAAACCAAGAAAGGAATAGCTTAGTGTGACTTAATAATCTTCTTAGATCAAGGTAGGGCTTTTTCAAACAGAGTTCTCGTAAATGTTTCCTTGAAGCAGAAAACATTCCATCCTGAAAGAAGTATTAATCATGCTCCATTATGGATTCCTTTCAGTTACATTGTGGCTGAGAAGAATCCACCTGAACAGAACAAGGAGTGCTCACTGTGATCTGCCCAACAATGGAGACCAAGATGAGGCAAATTTATCCAACACTGCAAAGAACAGTCAAAATGGCTCGTGTGAATCTTCTCACAATTTCTGAACTCTCTCCTCCATTAACTGAATGGAGGAGACGCCACACAGTATTGAAAAACACTGCCAGCCTTTCCTTCCTGACACAGCAGAGAAGTCAATACTCTTCGTGATCATGCAATACAACTTTTGTATGTATGTATTTTCCCCCCTTTTTTTCTCCCTTTGTGTCAAGATTGACTCTTGGTGGCTCCTTGCACAAGCCCCTGCAGTTTTATTGGATTTTCAGAATTATTTTGCTATTGCCTCCTTCTTAAGGCTGAGAGAGAAGGGCTGGCTTAAGGTCACCCACTGGCTTTGTGCCTAAAGCAGGATTAGAACTCAGAGAGCTCTGTTTTCTACCCTGGTGCCTTCACTACCACACCAAACTGGCTCTCTATTTCTTTTATTGTACCTATAACCTATCCTAATGCCAATGGACATATGGTGATGTACAAGAGCTAACAAAAAGAAAACAAATAATAACAAATCCAGACCAATATCCAACTCTCAAAATAAATATAGAAAGAAGAATTAAATGCCCCAATAACACCCCTTCCCAAAAGCCAGGTAGTCAAAATCAGCTGGTACCAAAAGCTATCTGAAATAAAGCTCTCTTACTGAATTACTGGACCAGGCACATTCGATTTTAATAAGGTGTCATCTTATTCATCCCAGTGCCATACAGTTTAGGGTTTTAAATGTAACAGTCAACATTTGACTTGAAGTCCACAGACCTACTGACCACCAGCAACCTTGATAATTGAAGTTACAAAGAATTTCTCCACCTTAGTTTATCCACCATGGAACTGGTTGAATGGGGGCAAGTGGACCTGCTCTATGTTGGTCACAGCAGATACGAAGCCTTGAGTTAGTCTTCATGAAATAAAACTTTTATTACTTTCAAAACCCTGAAACTTTATTAGCTGCATCCTTGTTCAACATCAGCGATCATCTGACTTCAACAGTTCTCTCCCTACAAGGTAAACTTAAGTCCATGACATTGTGAGTACTTCCTTACAGGCATCACTTGGCTTTTACTGCAGCTCTCTAACTTTTCCAAGCTGTCTTGCTTGATCGTCAGGCTGCTTGAGGTGCTATCGCCTTCACTCAGGCTAAGCAACAATTTGGCAGAGCTATGAAAATCACCTACCCTTGGTTTGTGCCCCATTCGTTCCTGATGCAAAGGTGTTTGTGCACTGGATCCTTCATGTAACCTTCATAGCAAAGACATTCACCTAGAAGTGGAAGAACAAAAACAAGAGAATAATACATGAGTTATGTAACAACTCTGAAAAGGGAATGAGTTTTGCTGGGAGCTGTCAATTTAGTATGCAGCAGGAATGGAAAAAGAAAAATGTCATACTAGGAATTATTAGGAAACAAATTGGAGATAAAAAGCACAAGATCACAATGCTTTTCTACCAGCCTCCTGCGTACCATTCTCACCGCCTCATCACATATAGTATATCATACAGCTGGGAACAAAACATAAAATGGCAAGAAAATAGGCAAAGAGTCAGAAGATCAACAAGAAGAGGAGCCTGGACATTTGTAGTGTAATACACAATGCCTGTTCTATGACCAGTCTCTGATCTCTTATCCCACACAAATAAGTAAGTAAGTAAGTAAGTAAGTGGTCCTGGGGGCTCTCTGAGCTTGCTTGTTTTCTTGCAGACATTTCATTACCCTAACTAGTAACATCACCAGGGCTAGAAAATAAATAAATAAGTCAGCAAATATGACACAATATCTGTGTCACAATCTCACAATCTGTAAGGACCCACCCCACTTTGCATCTTAAGAAGACAGAACTCTTGGAATAATTCTTCCAACAGGAATCCTTTATTAAGAGAAAATGGTTGCAGGCATGCTAGACAGGACTTGGGGTTCAAGCTCTCCCATTCAAGGTTTTAAGGGGTTCCCCAGTAGTCCCACCCAATCAACCCCCCTTCCAGTGATAGTTTCAAGTATCACAATTCCACCCCCTTTCTTCTTTCTTCCGTCTGGATGGAGACTTCAGATAACTACATGAAAGGCAAATACCCTTCTTTGGTATGCTAACGCTTCGAGGTTACAATAAACACACATTCAGCATTCAGCTCTTTGAAGTTACTGAAGGAAGTGAGGGCCATAAAGCCCCTTTGTTCTCCCCCTTCTCTCCCTCTTATGGCAGAATCCAGAGAAGGCAGAATTGGGAGTTTCTATATTTGATAATTAAAGATGAAATATAATTGGATTCTGACATCCGGCCCCTCTTAAAAATAAGAGAGATTCACCTGAAAGAAAACAAAACAGGTATAAGACTTAGTCAGGCTTGTTAGGATACTCTGTGTGAAACTTCTTCAATAGCTTCGGGGCTCTGACATGACGTTTATGGACCCACTCGTTTTGTGAGGGAGGGAGGTGTTTCCAGGCAACTAGGTACTGAGTTGCTCCATGATATCTCCTAGAGTCAAGGATCTCTTTTATTTCGAAGTGTTGTTCGCCCTCCACCATGATTGGAGGTGGTGGGGGAGGGGGATTTTTGGCCGTAGAGGTGATTGATGCTCTCTTTTCAGCAAGCTGCAATGAAAAATTGGGTGTATTTGCCTGAGATTTTTGGGTAATTCTAATTCTACTGTTACTGGATTTATGATTCTTTTACTTGGAAAAGGTCCTATATATTTTGGTCCAAGTTTTTTACAGGGCTGTAGGGACTTTAGGTATTTTGTAGATAAGTACACCATTTCTCCTATAATGAATGGTGTAGGCTCAACCCTTTTTTTATCGGCTTGTGTTTTGTATGCCTGCCTAGCTTCATCTAGTGCTTTTCTGACTATTGGCCAGGTGTTTTGTAGTTTCTCCATCCATTCTTTCAGCGAAGGGATCGTTGTTTCGTTTGGGGTTAATTCTGGCATGGGGTTGAAACTTTGACCGGTGGCTATTTGAAAAGGAGTGTAGCCTGTGCTGGAGTGGACTGCATTATTGTAGGCAACTTCTGCAAAAGGAAGTAAGTCCGTCCAATCACTCTGTTGGAAATTTAAAAAACATCTCAAATATTGCTCAAGTACTGAATGGCACCGTTCCGTTTGTCCATCTGTCTGAGGGTGATGGCTAGATGTCAGTCCCTGAGTGGTCCCTAAGAGGGATAAAAATTCCTTCCAAAATGCAGACGTAAATTGCACTCCCCTATCAGAGATGATGCGTTGGGGTGCCCCGTGCAATCTGTAAATGTGCTGGATGAAAAGTCTTGCTAAGGCCTTTGCAGGGGGAATCTTTTGGCAAGGGATAAAGTGCACCTGTTTGGAAAACAAGTCCGTGACTGTCCAGATAACAGTATTCCCATTGCTTTCTGGCAATTCCACTATAAAATCCATGGCTATTTCCCTCCAGGGGGCTGAGGGACTTGCCACTGGTTGTAATATCCCTGGCGATTTCCCTTGCAACCTCTTTGCTGATGCACAGGTTGGGCAGCTGGCAACATAACTTTCTATGTCCTTTTTTATTGATGGCCACCAAAATTGCCGTTTAATTAAGTGTACAGTTTTTACAAATCCAAAATGTCCTGCTGATTTTGTGTCACGGCAAAGCTGCATGAACGTGATTCTTTGGGTTTTTGGTATATATAACTTTTCCCCTACCCAAGGCAACCCGTCTCTCATTGTGCACACATTTTTGTTTTTCTGGAACCATTCATCTGTTTCCAAACTTTTTCTGAATTCAATTCCAGTTTGGCTGTCCAGTTGTGGTTTTAATTTGGCTTGGGTTCTTGTGGTTACTGGTGCTGCCAGTTGTGATTCTGCCATTATTGGTCTAGAGTCTGTGGTTCGTGCGCTGTTATATTGGGGCATGCGAGATAGAGCATCTGCCAGGAAGTTCTTTCTTCCTGGTAAATGTTTGAGCTTAAATTGGAATTGGTGAAAATGCTGGGACCAGCGTGCTTGTTTGGGATTGAGTTTCCTGGAAGTTTTCAGGGCTTCTAAATTTTTGTGATCAGTCCACACCTGGAAGGGGATTTTGTTGCCTTCCAGGAACTGTCGCCACGTGAGTAATGCCCAACGTATCCCATAAGCCTCCTTCTCCCATACGGGCCAGCGCTGTTCTGTTTCCGTGAGTTTCTTGGATGTATCTGCACAGGGTTGCAATACTGCATCATCATTTTCTTGTAATAGCACAGCCCCCACTGCCACATCACTTGCATCTGCCTGTATTATGAAGGGCTTGTCCATGTCTGGGTGCCTTAGTACTGGTTCGGCAGAAAAAAGTCTCTTTAGTCTCTCAAACGCTGCTTGGCACTCCATTGTCCATGTTAGTGGCTGGCTAGGTTTTACTGAGGATGCTCCCTTCGTTTTTAGTAAGGTAGTGAGGGGCAAGGCTATCTGGGCAAATGAGGGGATGAATTGGCGGTAAAAGTTTGCAAAACCCAGGAAACTTTGTAGTTGCTTTCTTGTGCGGGGTGGCGCCCAATCTAATACTGCTTTCACCTTCTCTGGGTCCATTTCAATGCCCTGTGGGGATATGCGATAGCCTAGGTAGTCTATCCTTTCTTGGTGGAATTCGCATTTTGAGAGTTTGGCATATAGGTCGGCGGCTCGCAGCTTCTTTAAAACCGCTCTGACAAGGTTGACGTGTTCCTCTTTTGTTTCAGTAAAGATAAGAATGTCGTCCAAGTAAACAAGGACCCCCTTAAACAGGTGCTCCCTTAGAACCTCATTGATTAATTGCATAAAAACTGCAGGGCCCCCTTGTAGTCCAAATGGCAAGACTTTGAATTGATAGCACCCCATGGGGCAGTTAAATGCAGTCTTCCATTCGTCCCCTTCCTCAATTCTTACACGATAGTAAGCTTCCCTTAGGTCTAGTTTAGAAAAAATTTTCCCTTTCGATAGGTGTGACAGCATGTCTTTCATGAGGGGCAGCGGGTATAGGTTGCTTTCACTGATTGTATTCAGGGCCCTATAATCCACGCATAAACGTAAAGAGCCATCCTTCTTCTCTCTAAAAAGGACCGGGGCAGCCACTTTAGGCTTGGCTGGCTCAATGAAACCTCTCTCCAGGTTTTTTTTTATAAATCTTTCCATTTCCTCCTTCTCCTTTGGGCTCATGGAGTATAATCTGGGCTTCGGGAGTTTTGCCCCAGGCTTGAATTCAATGGTACAGTCTGTGGGTCGGTGGGGGGGAAGCTCATTCGCCCTCTCCTCACTGAAGACTTCAGCAAGGTCCCTATATTCCTCTGGTATTTCTGTTAATCCTTTTTTCCTCTCCTATGGATGCTTTTTCTATTCTTGATTCTGGTAGCCTCCCTTGGGGTTTTAAGTCCATAGGGTCCCCCTTCGGGAATTTGATTTCTGTCGTCTTCCAATTTACCCAGGGGTTCCATTTTTTCAACCATTCCATCCCTAGAATCATTGGGCATTCCATACCTGGGGTCACCACAAACGTTAAGTCCTCTTCATGGTTGCCCAGGGAGAGATGTATTGGCAAAGTGGCTAGGGTAGCTGGCACCCCCCCCGCTATGGATCCATCTAGCTGGCCAAATGAGATTAGTTGTTCCAGTCTCCTGGATGGGATGCCCAGATTCCCAACTAGTGTTGGGCTAATGAGGCAGCGGGTGCAGCCAGAGCCTATTAAGGCTTTCACCTTCACAGCTTTGGGCATGGGGGGGATTAATATAGTCACTGTTTTGAAGATGGGTGTGATGCATCCACTTACCAGGGATTCGCCCTCCGAGCTGTCACCTGAGGCATCCACCGGCCCTGTGGTGTAGGCTGGAGTTCTTTCCCCTTGGTGAGCAGAGGTGGGGGTTTCTGCAATTTCCATCATTCTCATGGCTGTTTCTTTTGGCTTAGCTGAATACTTTCCGGGTTTGTTGATTGGGGATCTGTCTGGGTTGTGCTGGGGGGCCTTTGAGCGGCATTCTACAGCTCGATGCCCTTCTCTTCCGCACTTGAAACACCCCATTTGCTTCTTGGCTGTATCCGATGATTTCACCGGTTGGTGTGTCAGCTCAGGCGGGGGGCGGCTCCATTGTTTTCCTTCGGCGGTGCCTCTTCAATATGTCGATCTCTGCTTCCTCTGCCAAGACGTACCATTCCTCAAGTCGATGTGGGTCCCCTCGGGGCAGGCAAGCATCATATAGATCATAGTTTAGTCCGTCTTTGAAATGGCCAAGGAGGATGTCTTCTGGCCAATTCAGTTTGCTGGCAATGGCCCAGAATTCTTGTGTATACTCAGCCACTGGGCGTTTGCCTTGCCTCATCGTTGTTATTCTTTCACGGGCTTTGCGATCAGCCAGGGGGTCTTCAAATCGTCTTCTCAAAGAGGACATGAAACGGTTGAAGTTACTGAGTTCTGGGGCATTGGAGTCATGCAAGTTCACTACCCAATCCGCAGCTGGTCCATCCAGGGCAGATTGCACGATCCGGATGCGGGCTTTGTCGCTGGGAATATCCTGCCCATATTCCTCCATGTAGCTGAGGACTTGGGTTAGGAAAAACCCCAAGCGTGTTGGCTCCCCTTTGAATTTCACTTCCAACGGTGGACGTCTTGGAATGGATCGGTGCCTCTGTTGTGGGTGGTAGTGCCTTCCGTCCAGATTGCCATCTGTGGTCCGGTAGGGGGTGGGGGCTCCTGGATCAGTAGATGTCCCTGGGGTTGCAGGTTCCATGTCCCCCTCGGTGTCTCTCCCTTTGCGGCTCCAGGAACTGGGGCGGCCGTAGGGCTCAGTATTCTCCTCTCCTAGGGAGCTGAGAGTTCTCTTCATCAGGTCAATAGCTTTCTCTAGGATCCAGTCTGAGTACGGCCCAGCTTCCTCCCTCTTCACTTGCGTGCAGGGATTTCTCCATCTCCTGCTTCCATTCTGGTTGCTTGGTCCCCCGTCTCAGGGTCACCTTTCTTGATTCCTTTCCCCACTCACTTTTCTTTCCAACGCCCATCGACCACTTCTTCTCCTGAGGAATCTGGCCTCTCGGATCCCAACATCTGGCAAGGTTCCAACTGGGTCAGCGGCTCTCTTTCCAGGGAGTTTTCCCCCTCTCTTGCTCCATTGTCTGACATGGTAAATTTTTGCAAAATCCCCCGGCAAGGGTCTCCCTTCCAGGTGGATTAATTTTGCAAGTCCTGTCTAATGTAAGGACCCACCCCACTTTGCATCTTAAGAAGACAGAACTCTTGGAATAATTCTTCCAACAGGAATCCTTTATTAAGAGAAAATGGTTGCAGGCATGCTAGACAGGACTTGGGGTTCAAGCTCCCCCATTCAAGGTTTTAAGGGGTTCCCCAGTAGTCCCACCCAATCAACCCCCCTTCCAGTGATAGTTTCAAGTATCACAATTCCACCCCCTTTCTTCTTTCTTCCGTCTGGATGGAGACTTCAGATAACTACATGAAAGGCAAATACCCTTCTTTGGTATGCTAACGCTTTGAGGTTACAATAAACACACATTCAGCATTCAGCTCTTTGAAGTGTACTGAAGGAAGCCCCTTTGTTCTCCCCCTTTGTTCTCCCCCTTCTCTCCCTCTTATGGCAGAATCCAGAGAAGGCAGAATTGGGAGTTTCTATATTTGATAATTAAAGATGAAATATAATTGGATTCTGACACAATCCCTTATTCATTGATGAATCTGAAAATACTTATTTATTTGGAACCTGAAATTTTTTTTTTTTTAATATGAACGTTTTTCATTGATTCAGTCATTATGGCTCTAGGCAGCTTGCAAGCAACAACATACAAATGCCCAGTAACACAAGTCATAATAATAAAAGTCATCCAATGTAACAGTTGTGAGAGATTTTCCACCAAATGAAATTCCAAGAAATCAGATGTCAAGATCTTTTGCTTACACCTTTTTTACACCTTTATACTCTTTATTTTATTTTATTCCCTTTCCTTCCTTTATGCACCCAGGTCACTGCTTTATAAATAAAAAAACAATAATTATTTGGAATCCTTCTGGGCCTTTCAGGGTCTTCTTCCTGATTAGCTCTCAGGCATTCCTGTTTGAAAACCCAGCTATACCAATCCCAAAGGAATTACATTAGTTTAGAAAGAAATAAGGCTATAATCACTGAATGTAGTAGGGCATACTTTTGAAGAAATACATGAAAGGTCACACTGCATCATACTGTGAGAGGAGAGCATAACAAAACATTATAAAATTATGAAGGGAAAGTTGACAGAAAGAAATTGTTCTTCTTTCATATTGCTAGAATGAAATTGCCAACAGGTGAAAAGTAGGGAAAAGAAAGATGCTTACTCAGTGGAAAGGCCACCAGAGTGAAGCTCTCCCACTGTCCCATTCAAACCAGCCACTCATTCAGAAGTGAATTCCTATTCTGATGGCTGTTTCATCCTCTACTTGGCCAGGCTTTTGGCAAATCAACACATTATTCCCCCTGCCACAGTCACCTTTTTTTCGTGTGTATCTTTTGGCAACTAAAATGGAAATCATGAATAGGGATCATAATATTTATTTGTTTGTTTGTTTATTTTGTTCATTTATTTGTTTGTTTATATCTTGCCTTTGTTATTTTTATGAATAATTTAAGGCAGCAAACATACACTTCTTCCTCCTCCTATTTTACCACCAACAGCAACCCTGTAGTGTACATTCTCTGGGTTGAGAAAGAGTGACTGGCCCAAGGTCACCTAGCCAGTTTTATGCCTAAAGTGGTACTAGAACTCACTCCTGGTTTCTAGCCTGATGCCTTAAACCACTAGAAAACAGAGTTCTACATTTCTGTGTGTCCATTTTAGATAATTATTTTTACTCAGCTGCAAATGGTTAAGAATAGATTGAGATATCAACAGTATGATTGATCACTTGAACCCCCAACCAGACTGCTTCTCCCAGGTGATGGAATTAATGTTAGACATTGCTAGCATTAAAATAGGATTCAATGACAACACTAGCTTCATAAGTGACTTAGAACAAGCAGCAGTCTCTTATGGTCCCATTTTATCCTGCATCTCAAACAATGAAATATTTTGAGTTTTCCTGTCATATATTATTATGATGCCAAAAAAATCTCCAGTTGCAATCATATGTGCTTTAAGGCTTACAGACATATGAATGCACTTCTTTGCTCCTCTCCTTAGATGACATTTCTGAAAGCCTACATTAAGGCTACAACTGAATTAGTTGGGAGTAAGTTCTGTCTTTTGAATTATATTGGGCTTATCTGTGGATAGGGAAGAAGAAGAGGACTCTACAGTTGTATGCTTTAAATACTAGCTACACAGCTATTTAGTCAGATTACAGCCAAAAAGAACAAAAGGCACAACAGAAGTACTTGTTTTGTTATTTTTTTTTTCTTTTAAGGAAGGCATAACCATTTTTACAGAATGCTGGCAAAAATCTATGAATTTAGAAATAAGCCCTAAGAGGGTGTTTGAAACCATCCCCCTCAGAGGCCTGCTAGAGTTGGCAGCTGCAATGGCAGATGGTTGTGAATAAATGAAATGCAGAGACGATGGGCAAATGAGTCACATCACATCAAAGGGGAACAAACATGCCTCTCGTGAGCATGTGCCGAAGAGAGAAGGCTGGACCAATCTCCTGAGATATACCATCTCTAGATTTAGGGGGTGGCACCTGGAAATCCATAATTGTGCCTGTTGAAGATATGGTAGAATCCAGCACTATTCATATTAAAAATTCTTTTTGTTTTCAGGTTCTCCTCCTAACAGAAAATATATAAAATTTGTGTGTGAGTATTTCTTGAAATAGTTCATAGGAAAGATTGGATTCAAGATAAGAAACTTTGTATGACTTTTTGTTCTCACCATATAAAAACAAAGGAAACATAAAGGTCATTTTCTCACCAGTTTTTGATAACTTTGGGAACTTGACAATCCCCCAGATCACATTGCACCCACCTACCAGTTTCAGGATCACACTCATGTTCACAAGGGTCAAGAAGTCTTCGGGAGCACATATCCAAGGCCCACGGCCCACTAGAATTTTGCTGGGAGAAAAGAACCACCTGGGCAGGATTTAACCAGTCACTGGCATCCAGTTGGCTCCCCTCTAATAAGATAAATCGGCTTCCTGCAATAGAAAATGAAAAGAAACTGCATCATTCTGAAAGAGGAGCACTGAATGCATTTTCATGTGTGAGATCTAAATTTCCCCTAAGCTTTTCCTCTCATTCATGCCACATACAAAAGAAAATTGATTTGTAATGTGAATGAATATTTTTGTCTAATATAACTTAAAATCCACTTTATAATTTGTGTGAGAAAATATCCTCAGGGTTACTTTTCTAATGTAATTTAACAAGCATTGGCTCTTCTCTGTGAACAAAAATATTAGGCAGGCGTATTTTCTTTCCCTTCTGGAAATGACCTGGAAATACCTCTTCCAGAACCCACTTCAAACATCCTCAATTATCTATCCTGTTTTGAAGATCCAGCCATTGATCATCGAAGGTGCTTTAGACTTAGCATGTCTATCTCCGGTAGATATGTCTACACATGTGTCTATTATCTCCTATCATGATTTTTTTATACAAAAGCCTGAATAGGCTAACAAAATAGTTCAAATAACAGAAAGATTTGAAGTAAATTTGATACCATGAAAGCCAGCTGACTCTCCAGCAGAGATCCATGAAACCAGATTGCTCCAAGGACAAAATCTCCTATTAAATTTCCAACTAAGACAACTCATTTCTTTGCTCAATCAGGATCACTTGCTCCATGAATCTGATCTGTTCTCCACCCTCCACTCCTGTCCTCTTTCACAAGCATCTTCCATCTCATTGGCCTAGATATCAAAACATCTGATTAGACTGTTTCACTTCAGATCACAATAAGAAATTGTATACCTTAATAAACAAATTATTGGGACACAGAAGAGTTTCCCATTAGGAAGCAGAGTTCTGCTTCAACCTAACTGACATTTAGTTTTCCACAAGAACTAATCTTTCTGTCTTCGGTATTGGAGAGTAAGTTATGTAACACACATTCACCCAATCTGGTATGATCAACCTCCCCTAAGGCCAATGTTGAATTAATAATATTTTTCAAAGCTAAAATCTCTTATTGGCTGTTCATTTATCAGGTGGCAAATGTGACATATATGTTGACAGATTCTGTTTTTCTTTCACTTCATCTGCCAACAGAAAGTGAGTGGGGGCCTAGGCATGGCATAGTCTTGAGTGGGACACAGCTCAGCATTTTTGCAGCGGCAGCATTTGTTTCCAATGTTCTAGGAAATGTTTGGAAAAGAAAATGGGGCTCTGTACTCATAAGGCACATTTTCTTCTCTGTAAGCATGTTGGCTCAAAGTTAGCCTATGCTTTAAAATAAAATCTGTTAATATTTTTACCTTGTTTATGCTAAAAAGGCCACTGATTCTAGTTGTATACTGAATTTAAGATTATGAAAAAGTATCTTACTTTTATGATATTTTCTATGAATCTAAGACATTCCTACAGTTTTTGAGATTATTTTCTTGGAGAAAAAAACGTAACTGTCCTTTCAGGTAAATACCATAGTAAAGAAGAAAATATACTTTCTCCAATGCACAGCTCTCACTGTATTGATACCAATTTGACTTAAAACAAATTGTGTTGGCACATTAGTGTGGGAAGTGAGAATTTCTTGACTTTTTCATGTCTTTATTATGCAAATTTATATGGGCACTCACTCATCTTTCAAACAATTCTGGTGGGTAAATATAAGAAGTAAAAGAATAATAGCAAAACAATATAAACAGTAAAGATGTGAAGTAAACACTATTTTTTCAAGCAGACCAAACATGGACTATGCCACATTAACATCCTAGTTCTAGAGTCTGAGTCAAGTGCCAAGTTCTAGAGTAGGTATGTCAAACGCGTGAAGTCACATGACGTCACGCAACGTATCATGGCTTTTTCCCCATTGCCGGCAATGGGGTGGGTGCGGTTTTGACGTGACGCATCCGGCCCATGGCCCAGCAGTTTGGCATGCCTGTTCTAGAGTCTTCTGAAAAGCCAACAGGATTGTGGCACTTGGAAATAGTGGGGATAACTGAATTGCATCGAGAAACTGATTAGAAACTGGCATAATTAATTAGGCAGAGGAATTATATAAGGATATTGAGGAGTACCCAACTGCTCCTACTGCTGTATTCTAAATCAGATGCAGTCTTCAAGGGCATCCCCAAGTAGAATGCATTGCAGCAGTCCAAATGGAAAATGACCAATGCATGAAAGAGCAAGAACATAGGCTACAGAGTCAGAAACATGGACAACTGGTGCACAAGATGAATCTGGGCAAAGGGCCTCATGGCCACAGCTTCCCCAACTTGTTGAGCAAGAGCCATGAATCCAGGTGGATTTCCAGATTGCACTTCTACTCAATCTGAGAGAATGTTTACAATTGCATTCTCTTGGGTGGGGAACAAAGCCCACAACCACTTGATATTGCTACGGTTAAGTAGGATCCTATTTCCCTTCATCCACATACTTACAACCACCAAGCACTGAGAAGGAACCTTGACAGCATCACTTGGGAAGCTCATGGTAGAGATGTATAATTGAGTATCACCCATCTACTGATGGTATTTAACTCTATCCTAACAGATGATCTAACACAAGGGTCCCCAAACCCCAGTCTGCGGACTGGCACCAGTCTGTGGCATGCCAGAAACCAGTGAAGCTCCATCTGCGGGATGCAGGCAGCACACGAAACCGGTCTGTGGAAAAATCTCTCTCACGGAATCTTGACTGCAAATGAAGTTTATCCAGATGCACATTTTATATAGTTTTCTAGAGGCAATATGAATAGAACAGAGAGGGTAACATTTCTACTCCAGCCAGGCTTTGACTATGAATATTTCTGTACAAATCTTAAGCAGAAATCTTCCTTCTCTCCCATTCTTTTTATTGGAATGGTGTGCCTTTTAAATTGTATGACTGAGAGAAGATGCAACCATGCTACTGATCTTTGTAAGATGTTTTGGGAGTTGTAATTAGAACAGAAGGTATCAAGAGTCAGGGAAATGGAAAAAAAAAAGAAATACAGGATGACCATTTGAAATTCTAATCTGTTCTTTATGGATTTATTCATGATTATATTCATGTACATATCCACAACTAATAGAAAAGGATAAATAGCCAACAGGTTTGGAGGATGTTAGCTTTTTCAGTTTGGTGCTTTCCAGATGTGTCAGGATTGCAACAAGCAGAATTTTCAGCTTGAGTTAAAAGTAGAAATCCAGGGAACTGTAATCCCAGCAAATCTGAAAGATACCAGATTAATGAAGGCTAATGAAGATGTTACATACTGTAGACAAAAGCCAGTGAGAAAGATCAGTCAAAAGTAGTTCGTTTTTTAGCTGACCAGTGTGCAAATACATGTCAAAGTTTCACAGTATGCTCTAGTAACAATCATTTACATGCATGTTACACCTAATACTGATCTGACAATAGAAGTGACAGGTAGAAGACTGACTTACCATCAGCAATAAGATGTTCTGGTACATGAAGTGTTATCTTGACCACAAGTGGACAACTCACATGAGAAGCACAGACCAGACCAATAATACAGCTGGTGATGCTGATGAGAGTCAGAGTTGTCTTGCTAATAGGACTTCTAGGTGAACCCACTAAAACAGTAAGAAAAGGAAGTCAGTGACATCCAAATATGCCTCTCTCACAGGCCTCAACACTGAGCTGGCACAACAGCTCTTGGTGGTGCCTTTTATGAATTACAGCCCTGGGCTAGTGCAATGGTTCTTCCTGGGGTCTTTATGAACCTGGGGTTCTGACCATTCAGCAGAAAGAGGTGCAAACACCAAGGTGAAATACAGTCATTTTCGGGGGGGAGGAGGGGGAAGGCATGTGAGAAACAGTCTTGCTCATTTGTGTAGATTTAGAAATAAAGCTGGGCAATTTCCTGAAGCAGTGTCAGTTAACAGCCTATATCCTAATTGGTGGCTGTGAACAGCAGTATCCCTCATTACCAGCCCACAAGTGCATAGACATCAGGTTCCCCAGAGTAATTAATGCTACTCCATAGGCTGCTTCAGACCGCCTGCTTTCTCCAAACGGAATCTATTCTTGTCTCAGTCATGCTTCCCTGAGTGGCAGCCTCTTTACACCTCCCCGGGTGTCAAGGCATTTTGCCATCAACTCTCTGTGACAGGCAGTATGACATCCCATCCAGGCAGAAGCAGTGCTCAGATTTGCTGCGAGGGTAGCATGTAAAAACTGAAGCCACAGACAAGCTCTTATGCTTAGCCGATTGTTTTTACGGCCTTAGGCCATATGAAATGTGAATTGTGTGGATTGTTTGTGTATGTTTTAGCCAGCCATCTAAAGGATGTATCTGTGGTAAAAACTGAAAGTAAAATGAGTTCCTTGGGGGGAAAAAATGAAAATGGATGAGTTTCAAAACAAATGCATTGAGCAAATTTTTTTTTTTTTAACATAAAACAAAAATCATGGTCTGCTTCTGTTGCCTGTACTGGGTGAAACTGGTTACAGAAATTCTGTGTTTGTATTCAGCAACCATATAAAGCAAATGAAGCTGAGACTTAAACCCTCCCTTAGACTTATTCTAAAGCACTTGAATATATGAGGAGACTCTTAATAATAATGGTGAACACCCTATCTCTTTTCTCCCATGTCTTAACAGATAATAGTAGATGTTTGAACCTGGATCTGTACATGCAAACTTACACACTCCTTGTTTGTATCTTTTTTTGTATGCAGGTATAAGTATTCATCAAAGTTTAATGCATTAATAGTCCAGATGTTGTGTCCAGATTACATTTTATGTAATCATGTAATGATACTATACATGCCAATTTTCAAAACAGTCAAACTACTGACAAAGCCAACAATGCCAATTTAATAATATCATTAGAAAAATTACATTGATCTCTTTCAGGTCTTTACCTTATAGCTCTTAAGATAGTCATCTTGTTATACAAAGCCCAGAATTGCTTCTGTGAGATTGGCAGAAATGATAGATGATAGATGATGATAGACAGACAGACAGACAGACAACAGAATAATAAGAGTTGGAAGAGACCTTGGAGGTCTTCTAGTCCAACCCCCTGCTCAGGCAGGAAACCCTATATCATTTAAGACAAATGGCTGTCCAGTCTCTTCTTAAAAACCTTCAGTATTGGAGCATTCACAACTTCAGTAGGCAAGTTGTTCCACTGATTAATTGTTCTAAGGTCAGGGAATTTCTCCTTACTTCTAGGTTACTTTTCTTTTTTATTAGTTTCCATCCACTGCTTCTTGTCCTGCCCTTAGGTGCTTTGGAGAATAGATTGACTCCGTTTTTTTGTGGCAACCCCTGAGATATTGGGATACTGCTATCATGTCACCCTTAGTCCTTCTTTCCATTAAACTAGACATACCCAATTCCAGCAACCATTCCTTATGTTTAGCCTCCAGTCCCCTAATCATTTTTGTTGCTCTTCTCTGTGCTCTTTCTAGAGTCTCAACATCTTTTTTACATTGTGGTGACCAAAACTGGATGCAGTTATTCCAATGTGGCCTTACCAAGGTATTGTAAAGTGGTATTAACACTTCATGTGATCTTGATTCTATTCCTCTGTTAATGCAGCCTAGAACTGTGCTGGCTTTTCTGGCAGCTGCAGCACACTGCTGGCTCATATTTAAGGATAGATAGATTTAGATAAGATTTTTAAACACAGAAACTAGATCTCTGCCTAAACACTTCCCATGCATAATCTCTTTTCCAAAAATGAGAAAGCAGTTGAAATCCAGATGGGCAGATGGCTTGCTTCCAGATAACTAGAAGTGTGCACTTTCTGAGTCAAAAGAATCAAATACTCCTTGCCCTGCTCAAAAATGTGTCCTTAACCACAGCTGAAATACTCCAGAAGGTGAAAGCTAAAACAATGACAACACTGCTTTGCTAGGTTCGTAGGTAATTTTCTTCTCTGAAATCATTTGTGAACTCATACATATAATCTACATTAATTTTCTCCAATCTGGTGCCTGAGCACTGCACTGAGATAATGCAAAATTATTTTGTCTTTCAGCAAGGAGCTTTTTGGTTGTCCATGAATAGACTGAATCACCATTAAAAACCATGACAACAAAGGACTGCACTTGGAAAGGATAGGATTAGATCAGAATGCTTATAGTCATACCTGTACAGTTTCAAATCCCCTTGTTAAAATAGGAAAGGCATACTCTGTATGGGTAATGCTACTGTAATTATATACTCAAAAATAACCTCGTTGTTTTTCTACAGTTTTGATCACAGATATAGCCTAGTGGTTAATATATTTTATTGCACAGCTATATAAACTTTTGTTCTGCTTAGTATGTATTATGCTAAGTAGTCTCAGAAAAATACAGTGTTGACACCTCTGTTTCTTAACTGCAGTATATGATTCCAAATAATTACATCTACCTGAACTAACCTCAATATTAGAGGTGCTATATCAGTACTGAAATTAACAGTGAAGCTGTATGTATCTACAAATAATTTCTTTTAAATCCCTACTCTTCCTCAGAAAACAGAGAAACTACAGGTAATCCTTCTTAAGTGTCCACACAGTGGCAACTCAGTCATTAAGTGAAGAAGTTACTAAGTGAAACAGCACCTATATATGCTTCTGATTTTATTTCAGCTTTCCTTTGCTTTGCAGATCTGCATATGTTGTAAATGTGAGCACCGCACCATCATAACTGCAAATTGCTGCTACATGAGGCAGTTGTTAAATGAGGATTTCTTGTATATGATCTAGGAGAGCTGTATCACTCAGAGGTCAAGGTTAGTATGGCCCCCTCAAGCACCAGGTAGGTCATAATATAACATCATTGAGTGACAACAATGCTTGCCTATCTGTCTCTTATTCTGCGCTGCGTCTGCATTTTGGATCTTTATTGAGTTATTTTATTACAGCCTTAGGCCAGCATAAGAGGTAAAACAAAATATGAAAGAGAAGGAAAAGAGATGATACCATCTTAAATTCAGCATAAAATAACCAGAGAGTTGATTGGATTGTTTTGAGTACTCACTGAGAGTCATAAAAGGAATGGCATGGCTCTCCATCACTGTCTCAGAAATTGCTAGAATGTACTCTGATAGAAGAGAAAGTACATATAACTCATCTGACCTGGCTTATCACTATAATAAAAGTACTATAATTAAATTAAGATCTAGATTTCTGAATAGTTAGCAAAACAAAAGAATATGTCTTACTATCTCTACCTTTGCTCAATCACAGAAAAAATGTTAAATTGAGAAACATGACAGAAGATTAAAGACAAAAGCAATCCCCTCAGAGTAGTTGGCTGCTTTTGCACTGAAGACCTGACCAGCCAGGGATCACTGATATCTTGGATTTTATTTGTAGTATATTTGCCAAAAGGATCAACACGTATTTCTCTAGATAGCTAGCACAATGTGATGGAATGTCTTAATAGACCTTGGAAACACAGAAAAGGCAAGAAGATAATTAAGGAAGGAAACAGACGAACAGCAGAAGAGATTTTTGAATCCAGAGGAAAAACATAAGAAAGAAATTCAGAATAAATTTGCCTTAACCAATTGTGCAGAACAACTCCTTTGGTAGGCGTTAAAAGATTTTGCTACATTACTCTATTTTTCAAAAATCTAATTGGCTCTTATTTTCTGAACTTGCCACCCTTACAGAGCTTGACACACAGTACTTGAAATAACATAGAGCTCTGTCTTACAACTTTCCCCAAAGGGAGTCCAAGTAACTTTCATTCAAAGCAATCAGTCTGTAGAACCAGCCCAGAATCTTTGGTAAGTTTCCCTGGATCACAGAACAGGGCATTATCTATGTCACTCTTTGGCCAGCTGCTTTTGAGGCATCCAAACATAGCTGAGCCATTGCCGTTTCTGCCCAATTATTACAGGAGAGAGCTAGGAAAATGATCTGCTTGAGAGACACCAGAAACTTAGCACACTTTTTAGGTCCTATTGGGTTTTTTATATGGGGTCAGTCTGCAAGTCACTAGATGTGAGAGCCTCCATGTATTGTGCCTGGCCAGAAGAGATCCTGATTCAAAGGAAAATATGTATACTTTTTAAAATATTTAATCCCTCCTTCCCACTCCATTTTTTAATGGGTTAGTTTCTCCATGACAACCAACTCCTTGACAGTGCAGTTAAGTGCCTTAGGGATGCATAACATGCAAACAGGGCTGGTTTTTCAGAGATCTCATCCAAGCAGCTCATGCAGAGAGAAATCTATCAAAGAAATGTGTTTATTGGTCTGGAAAATAGTTGTGTCAGTTCTGCTGGGAATCCTTTTTAAAAGAAGGGCTTCAAATTATTTAGGCTTTCCAAAATATTCAGGTTTTTCTATTTTTTTTTTTAAACTTACATCCATTTCACCCTCGAGCAGTGGTTTTCCCTGTTTGAGGAAACCTTTACTGTATCAGCTCATGCACTGAAGAAAGGGATGGCAGAATTGCCCAATTCTTCTTCATAGCATTGGGAGTGAAAAATGCAAAGATAAAAAAATATCCTATTAACTAATGGTAGCACCAGTGGATAATGTGTTCCTTGTCCCATAATGAGAAAATGCAGCAGGAAAGGAGTTACTGCTACTATTTAAGCATGCACAAAAGACATGTGATTAAAACATGCTGAGAGACATACTTAATCTTGAAGGACCTCTAGCACCACAATACCTTTAGCCATTTCATATTACTGTACTTGCTACTCCCTGCTCATAGTGCTGCTTACCTCTACTGCGCCGCCTGCTCCGTGATGGATCTGTGTAAAAAGCCAGCTGGGGGTCATTGTCTGCTTCTGTCCCAGAATCCCCTTCAGGGTTCAGAAATGCAGAGCCAGCTAGGTTGAAAAACAAAAACAAAACAATTGCCTGTATTAGCTATTCTTGTATCACCTCACATTCTCACCTCTTTATAGTAAAGATATATCTCATTTACTTAATTTTATTCTGCCCAAAGAATATATATGGCCTAAAAGAAAATGGGAAAAGAAATTTCAAATACAATCAGCACAGTAAAGCCAGCAATAAGCACAAAAATTAAAAAAAATATTGTTTTGATTAAAAAGGAAAGCAGATTCTAGCAAAATCAATCTGGTGTTAAAGAAGTTCTTTCTCTATAAATGCTTGAGAAGACAGTTGTGTCTTCAAGTATTTTTTCAAAGAAGGCAATGTATTGTCATCTCACAACTACTGAAATGGTTGACCACTGAAATGGATCACCATACTATGAGCCAAGTCCACAAATAGAGCCACAAATAGTTTCTACAGCAGATTGATTCTTGGGAAATATTTTAAAATACAATGCACATAGAATCAATTATGGAATTCTCTTCTCTCTCTATTCTGGCTCCACACATTTTTGGATACATTTAAGAAACGTTTTGAAAGCTTATTCATTTAATAAAGTAGAAGTGACTGTGAATAGATACTGAGAATGGCAGTTGGTATAGACAGATGATAGATGATTTGTTATAAATCTTCCTAGTCAAGTTAGATGATTGGGACACAGAAGTATTATTTTTATCATTTTTTATTATTAGCTTTAGTTTTACTTGTTAATTTTAGTTGTGACTGGACCATGCTCTAGCAGGGGCATTTTATTAATAATTTGCTGCTTGTTTAGATGCAGCAGAACTAATATTATGAGATCCCATTTAGCCACTAATTTAAAATTAGACAGCTACATTTTGTTGTTAAACTATCTTTAGGGGTAGCTTTTACATGCAGTAATCCAGATAAGAGTTTATTATGATGCAGCTGACTGAGGTTGAGGCATCTCAATCAAGTTAAAGTCACAACTAGCACATTGGTGAATCCAATTGCCCGTCTAATGACAGACAGGCATCAAGGAGACACCCCAAGTCACACTCCGATTCTGTTGCCACCCAAGAGGCAGTTCTTGGAAGATGCATTGATGTGGCAAAGTTTTCTTCACTCTAACCATTTCCATGCAGAAAATACAGTTGTATGCCCTGAGCTGTCCATTTGTTAATTGATTTATTGATTATTTATTTACTGCATTTATTACAACTATTTCTATTCTATTCAGTTCTAGAAAGTGACTGTTACTGAACTTAAACAAACCATCAATCAATTTGCTTCGGTGCCAGGAGTTCTTCAGTTAAATTAAGAGGCATTTGGGCAACTCATAAGCAGAAGAAGTGCTCAGGAGTAACAGAGGGCCTTTTCAGCTCACTATTGTACAGTGAGATTAGAGCTGTGGTCAAATTGCCATCTAATGCCCTAAGAAAATGCCCCAGAATGTCTAAGAATCTCTTAGCTTCTTTACGTCTCAAGATCCAGTTTGTCCAGTTCAAATCTCACATGAAATGACCCATTCATGACAAAAGACACTTAACTCAGCAACCACTAGCAATCAGTCATATTCCAAAAGTCAGCATAAAAACATGACTGCAAAATATACTTAGTCAATAATAGACTTGGCGTGGACGTCTGGTTCCGGTACGCGTCAACGCTGGTCATCTCTAGAGACTCGTCTCCACTCTGGCCGGGTTTTCTTCGCCGGTAGACCCCTTAGTGGGTCCAAAGTCTCCCTGGAGGGGTGACCACCGAGGAGGAGACTAGCTGGTGACTGCGGGAGGGCAACAGCTTCTCCCGTGGCTCCAGCTATTGCCTTAGGGCCGATGGAGCAAAGATCATCCTGTAATCGGTGCAGCAGGCCGATTACCCTGCTGCACCAGCCGAAGTCACAATTACATCTAAGCGTAATATATCCACCGCGGATGATCCGGGTGAGACCTCTTCTGCCCCTTTCTTCACCCTATTTTGTTTTTTTTATTGCCTATAAAAGCTTTGATGGAATTATTTCTCCATCTTGAAAAAGCAGCTTTTGTATGCATGGGAAGAAAGGCACTGAACAAAAGGATAGAACGAATTTTTTTAAAGACTACACTTTATTCTCATTCACTTTGGGATACAGAAAAAACGTTTTTCTGAGCTGTACTATTATTTTATACTGGAAGATTATTTCTCTTTCCACTTTTTCCTTTAAAAGACAGAAAAAAGGGAAAAAATTGTGTCTGGAAAAGATTTTTTAATCTACTGAGGACATCTAGTGGCAGAAAGTTAACATTGCAACTGTTGATTATTGTTTGGAGATGAGAGGGACTTGACCTTCAAACTACACTTGAAGAGTAAAGATAAGCTGATGCAGCTGTGGGAATTGTGGGGGTGGACATTGCTTAACTTTTATTAATTACAGTCTCCACTAAAAGTAAAAAAGGGATTCTCTTCAATTATTATTAAAATGGAGAAACCTTATTCTCACTTAAACTGTAAACTTATATTGGAAAAGATCTATGAGGCTACTGAAGAAATATGTGCCACAATGAAAGAGATTACTACAGAATTAAGAGCCAGAAACTCTACCCCAAACTTTCAGACTGACTTGCAGACTACATCTGACCATTCTACAAACCAAAACATACTAGAAGAGGAATCAATTGAGATTAAAGAGGAATTTATTTTACAAGCATTTCATCTATATCTTCGAGGATCAGAAAAATCAAAGACTGAGACTTGAACCTTTAAAGCAACGACGCTTTAAGGATAAGAGAAACAGATGTCCAGTGCAGAGGTCAGGATGCTTTTTACTATCTCAAATGATATTACCAGCAATAAAGAGAGACCTATCGGCTGAAAGGGAAGCTTTGTTATGGAAACCTGACTGGCATAAAAAGAAGGCCAGAATAAGACTGAAAAGAGAAATTTAAAATCATATGTAATGGATCAAAGGCACTGTAGAACTATGGATTGATTTAAGGATTAAGATTTTGAGTTAGAAGTAAAAGAAAAATGGGTGATTATTAGGATATATATATTAAATAGATTAAGAATGTATTCTTTGGAATAATAGGTTTATTTGTATGAAAACTATTATGTAATGGAATGAAGAAAATTGAAGAGGTGTTTTAGATCTGGATTGATTTAATATTTAATTGAATGTTAATTTAATAAGATGATGTTTTTGTTTGATAATATGGATGTTATTAGGTATGATAATTAACTGGATGAAATTTGAATCTCGTCCAATGGACTGAAATGATTTAAGGTTTGATATTATCTTGTTATCTTAAAGAGATTGATTGATGGATGGATTAGATATGTATAGGATAGACCAATATTTTATTTTAATTAGGAGATATTAGTGGAAGAAGAAATAACAAGACTTATGATAAAATTAAGGAATTAGAATATACCTGGAAGGGATACCTGAATTGATAATGTGTTTATTTAAACGTAAACTTGATTGTGGTAATTGTAAATTCATAAAGCTCCAAAACAGGTTTAGGATTAATAGAAATTTAAATTAGAAATGGATTATCTTAAATATATTAAGCTATTTAAGGGAAATAGAGAGAGAATATTTGATGTATTGATTTGAGTTATTTATATATGGTTTTACTTTTGGATGTTTGATTACCCCAGCACCACGGTGTGTTTTGAGCACTTTGTTCTAAGAATTAAAAAACCAATAAAATTTGTTTAAAAAAATATAATAGACTTGGCATGAATGTCTAAGATTCCAAGGATACTTGTGATGAATTTTCAAAGAAACTCAAGACATCACTTCTGCCAGTTCAGCAGCAAAGATGCTCAACACCAAGGCAAGCATCTTGTCAATAAAATTCCTATTCTGTCTTTGGGACCTACAGCAGGTAAATCCCTTAGTAAGCTTCCAGATGAGACTGAATGGGACATAACTGCTATGCAGAAATCTCTCAGGAAAAAAGCTAGACAACAAAGAAGAGCTGAGAAGCACAGACTTCCATTGCAATTTGACTGGGCTTTATATAGGAATATGCTTCTGGTTGGCCTTTTGATTATCAATTTGCATGTTGCCTGGATTAATTGATTCTTCCTCCCTTTCCCTCTTCTTTTTTGAAGCAAGGCAACAAAACAAGGATTGTCCTTAACTGGTTCTTTATCATTATTTCAGCTCAAAATCACCCCTCTTCAGTTAGTTTTTTTTTTAACACCTATATATCACCTGCATAAAATGCAAATGAAAAAGCACCTTAAAAAGAGTCACATGGGACTGGAAAATGACAAGCTGGAGATTTTGCAACTTTTTCTGCTCACCTTTTTCCATTCATTAGGCTCACATACGAGTGATTTTAAAAAGTAAGCAATAGTTAGAGTATCTAATTATTTAACCAGAATTCATCTATTATTTAACCAAAGTCTATGTTCACATATCATGTTTAAACTACAAGTAGACAGACTACAGACCACATGAATTTCTCAAGTTTTCATGAAACCCTGGAACTTTCTTAGTCATTACCACATCTTGATAATGCACAGGAGTTTTTGCAAATTGTGGTAGGATGGACAGCTTTTCCATCCACTCACTTTCTTGCTGCTCTCACTTAACCTTCCTTTCCCTCCTATCCTCATCTCTATAGCCATCTGAAGAATGTATCTTAGGAGGAGGAAGGAGGAAAAGCAGCACAGTGACTGTTTTATGTAAGCAGTTGCCACACTTCTCAACTACTCAAATTGTTTCCCTTTCCTCTTTGCAGAGGCAAATTGGCTGCAAGGATAAGCAAAGTGGTGTAAAAGGAGGCTATTACAGAAATGGAATAATTCCTATAATGCTACATTTCTTCTCATATATATATATATATATATAAACTGACAAAACTGATCAAAATTGTATCATGTTCTAATAGTACAATCCTGGATGGCTCTAAAAAGAAGATAATTGCACAAGTAGAATGTGTAAAATAGCTAAAAGTTCACATAGATTGGAAGAAAATTGTGTCAATTAATTATACAATCTTATTGTTATTATTTTGATCTATATTCCTGGCCCCATTCTGGCTCTGGAGTAAAACCCCAGACACAGCATTTAAATTCTACTGTGGCTCTCAGCCTAATCTAAGTTGCATCTCTTGATTCCGTGGCTTAATGTGATGTGCAAATACAGCCCTTGCATGTTTCCTAGCTACTGATGGAAACAGATGGGACTAAGTGTACTCTTAGATCTAATTCAAGGTTGTTCATGCATTTAATCACCTTACAGGTAGCACCCTGCCCCATCCCATCCATTGTCAGGAAAAAAACCTCTAGATGGTACCTCGTGATTTGTTATTGATCCGTTTGCGTTGACTGCTAGATGTATGAGACAACAGTGTTGCCTGTTGATGGTTGGAGTCCACAGGACTGGTGGCAATGATATTATCCTTGTACTTGTTCATCAAGGAGAGCTTGGCATTGTCACTTCCTAACAAGAAAAATTTAAGTTAAAACTTTGAGAAAAGGAGGCAAAAAGGGGAAAGGAAAAAGAATAGGAATAATAATAAGAAAAAAAATCATTTCCAGCTATCCAAGCATTAAATTTGGAACATCTTTAGATGTGGACCAGCTGGCAATAGAAGTTAAATCCTTCTACTGTAACCAACCATCTGTATGTTCAGAGCAAGCTTGCGGTTTTATCCCAGTATCTTTACATCCCAACAATAAATGCATTCAAAAGGATTATCTTAAAGTAAGAACTAAGCCTAAACAAAAGTTCCCATGGGAACAGCTTTGCAAAAGTTGAATCAAATTGTTATGGATGCTCCTGCTGAAATTTTTCACGTTCAAGAGGAAAAGCAGTGATATTGATGGTCACCATCACCATTGATGGTCTTGTATTATTAGAGATTTTTTTTAAAAAAAAAACTGGGAATGGGAGGGTAGAGGGACAGAGAGAAACCAAATCAAAACTATAAAATTTATGGAGGATGGAAGAGGGAGTTAACCTTCTACCTCACCTAGAGGTTCAAGGCATAAGGGCTATGCAGCACTTCAGTCTGGATCTCTAGAAATAGCTTCAGAGGAAATGGGAGCACAAGTCCAGAATGGGACAAGTTGCCACAGCCAACTCGCCATGGACAACTCGCCATGGCCAACTTGCCACAGCGGGACAACTCGCCATGGCCAACTCGCCACAGGACAACTTTCTATGGGACAATTAAACAATTCAATTTAATTATTTTTTTTAAATATATATATTTTTGTCATTCACATTTCATTCTGCCTCTCCTTTTTCATCCTTTCTTTAATGATTCCATTCCACCATTTCTTTGAAATTAGTCTAACCTTTATCCCACAGCGAATTGTCCAGTGACGAGTTGGCCGTGATGAGTTGACTGTGATGAGTTGATTGTGGTGAGTTGGCCATGGCAAGTTGGCCACTGCAAATTGTCTTAGACCCGTAGAAATCTGGCAGACTTAAAGCAAGTGCTACATTCATACTTCTGCATCCTGTGAAGCACATACATGCATATAAATACTTGCTGAAGCCAATGAGAGTTTTCCTCTCACTGCCAATAACAAGCACATGAAATCTCCACTTACCTCAAGTGTTCCCATGTCAGTTTTAACACAGAAGAAACAATTGCACAACAACAAACAGCTTGAATATGATTATATTGAGATAGAAGCCAATGCAGAAATTTGTTTTTCTGACTATCTTCTATCAACTATCTTTGACTTTTGGATATTGCTTGAAACACAAAAGCTGATAAAAGCAAGTAATCTTGCCTGGTCTACAGAAAGCCTGACCCAATTTTCTGTTTACCATACTGAAAATATGGCTAAATATTCCATAAAGAAAACTTTAAATACTTTCATGTACTTTGTTAACAGTCAAAATTCATGATTTGACCTACTATCTCCACTTTGTCCTTGAAGCATGCGCCTCCTATTGCTTTATTACAGTTAATGCTATTCTAAGTCACCTTCCACAGGGACGCAGCCAGATAATCTGGTAGTCCAAAATTATGTAGCCAGAAATTAGCCATGCTAGGGACAATAGGAAAGTGATGGATTATATGACTGAAAACAAAATACCAGCATTTCATTTTGAGAAATTAGGTCAAATAAGCAGTGCATTAAAGGCACCAAAATATAATGATCTAAATATATGCCTAATAACTTATCCAATCACATATAGGTGTAGGTCAACATATAGATGCTGATTACAATTAAGTCCCACCTGGTGTTAGATCCAAGCTCGATTTCTCATTACAGCCCTGTAGCGAGTCCAGTGTTCTGGTCACCTGGCTGGCAAAATCCTCACCCCCATTCATGCATTCCCGCTGTAAGTGATGGCGCAGGTCAGTAATATCATATTCATAACCATCTAGGATTGGAGTCTCTCGGATGCTCAGAGTTCCACTGGAGTTGTGACCTTGCACCCGGGCATTCCGCAGACTCTCACGACCATGGCCACCAATCAGCACTGAGGGGATGTAGTGAATTTCATTGGCTGCTTCAGCACTGGCACTCTTCTGGGGCTGAGGTACTCGACGGCGCTTGCACCAACGCCTGCGTGTGTAGAGAATCATAACCAGGCACAAGATGGAAAGCAGCAAGGCAATCATCCCTCCCTGTGAAAACCAAAATGAAACAACCTCAAGATCAGGCAGGATCAATTAGCACACTTGTATATTTACACTGTATCACTTGATATTAGATTCAGAATTCCCCATTTTAGAAAACAAGATTCCATCCTCAAGGTTTGTGGGAAAATAATAGAATTAATTAAGGAAACAATCACAATTAGCTAACCTGGAGGGCATTACCGAAATGAATGGGACCTGTGCAGTTGTGCATTTCTCACTGATCTGTAATAGGTTGGCTACTGGAAGGCCTTCGGTTGAATTTTATGAGCCATGGTGGCACAGTGGTTAGAATGCAGGATTGCAGGCTAATTCTGCTGACTGCCACCTGCCTGCAGTTCGGCAGTTCAATTCTCATTGGCGCAAGGTTGTCTCAGGGTTCCATCCTTCTGAGGTTGGTAAAATGAGGACCCAGATTTTGGGGGGCAATATGCTGACTCTATAAACCACTTAGAGAGGGCTGTAAAGCACCGTGAAGTGGTATATAAGTCTAAGTGCTATTGCTATATTAATCCAATGCTTTCCATGCTACATGAAACAATGACTTCATAAATTAATTTTCAGAATAGTAATTTTGCCCTTGGCAACAGCAATATAAGTTAAACTTCAGTAGTTTGAAGCAGCCTTTACAAAAGCTTTATTATTAATGATGCCAAGTCTTTAAACATTGTATTTATAGATAATGGTAAACAAAATTATTACAACTTTAAAGAGTCAAATACCTCTTCAGTGCCTTCCCCTTTAAGAATTTTCTTGTATATCTAACCAACTCTGTAAATGTGCCAGGGAATGACTAGTATGGCGTTGCGGGTGAATGAACACTGGCCATGTCACCAGCTAATGGAGACATGCAATGTAGTTTCTCAGGAGATTAAGTTGTGGTTTCCATTTAAGTAGAGCCTGCATTGAGCAGACAGCTGGACTATAGGATTTCATAGATTTTTTCCAAACTATATTGTTCCTTTTATAGATGAAGAATGAGCTGAAAACAGAGAAAGAAAGATTGCTTCTGTTTAATTCAGCGGTTCTCAACCTATGGGTCGTGACCCCATTTGGGGTCGATCGACCATTTTTCGGGGGTCGCCAAAGGCGGCGATCCGCCATTTTCTCCCCTCCGGGGGTGGCGCCGCACATGCGCATAACGTTTGTGTGACGGAGGTCGCCGTCATACAAATGTTGAGAACCGCTGGTTTAATTCTTTTCTCTCCAATGTATTTGCCTGCTTCTTCAATATCTTCTCCTCTCAGGTAACTTTTCAAGAAGTGGAAATAATCAAAGTGGGGTTGAGAACTAACCAGAATTTCAGTCTTATACTTCAGGTGTGAAACAAAGTCAAAGCTTGAGGGCCAAAATCCATATTACTTTAAAGGCCCATCTGGCAGCTTTATTATTATTTTTTTTAAAAAAAACAGTCTAAAACCAGCATAAGGAATCTAAACTAGGTTGGGATTTTAACAAGAATGTTGAAGTATAGAACTATAGGTTTTACTGTGATTCCGGTAATTTTTTGGGGGGGGGGAGAACAATGTATATATATATATATATATTTTTAACTGAAATAAAATAATCACTTTTTCATAATATATATTCAATGTATACAAATTCAAATTCAATGTATCCAGTCTGGATTGGAAACCTAGCAAATGATAAACAATTAAAACTTCAACTTCCAATCTGGACTGGGTCCTCTGAACTTATTTTATAATTTAAAAGAGAAAAAAAATGATGTAGTTGCTAAGGATATCTTCAATGTAAAGTTTTGGTCTCCAGTCTATTGAGCCTTTAAATTTTAAAAGCATGGGGAAAATATATATATATATATAAAACCAAAACCAATCAACTAACAGCATCATGTCTATTCTTGGTCATGGTCTGTCTTTCTATCTTCCTTTATATGTAATGGATTGTTGTAATAAAATAAAATAACCATCACCTGCTTCACTAGGAAAAAGAAATAAATGAAAATTACTAAATAGACAACAGAGCAATGGCTGGCAAAGAGCGTGATAATAGCTGTTACACTTCAATCCCCTTTTGTTTTTGGCCTAATGAAAATGTTCGTACCTTTCCTTAAGGGAAAAATACTTGCAAATTAAATTGAGAAGCAAACATTTAAGACAGCCCTGAGTGTTTTTATCAGGTACAACTCTTGGGTTAGTTCTTATAATTCTATTAGATGCAAATTTAAGCCCAAAGCCTCTCATATTTCCTAAAATAATGCAAATATCTATGCATTTAATAGAAAAAAAACTTATAAAACAAAATAGAATTTTGAATGACATTTGCCCCTGGAGTTTCCCATAAAAAAATTAGAATATTCTGTAATACAACCTTCTGTGCTTTTATACGTTCTAGGGAAGCAGTAAGCAATTTAACTAAAATTTAAAGCAGTTTTACATAAGGCATTTTCCTTAAAAATGAATATCAGTTTAATACAATAAATTAATATTATTGTAAATTTCACTATATCTCAAAGGCTATCACTAGATATTCCCACAAATATTTGGAAGTCTCCACAAAACAGTCATCATGGACTATGTGAACAGAGGGGTACCTCACATGAAAAATGCGATCAGAATAGAAATAAATTCACTAGTTATTATATTTGTTCCACAGTTTAAGTTTTCAGAAATCTGTCAGAACCCATCTTGAATATTTGCCAAAACAGAAAGGTGAATTTAACATAAAATGAATAAAATAATTTAAAAGGCATTGAAAAAAAAATCCTAATTCTACTAAAACATTTCTAGAGAAGAATGCAAATGTTCTCTCCATTGCTGTTGAAAAGTAAACAAAACCAAAATTTTAAGGGCATGTTTCAAAATCAGTATTTTAAAAATCCTGAATTGTTTTATGCACTGTCAACAATATTATGCTATGCTGGGGGGCTATATCAAAGTCATGAGGATGGTATGAAAGCCTGTCACTATATCAAGTAACTCAGTGCTTGCTTTACTTAAGACTAGAAAATATTATGGAAGGAAAACTGAAGATTGCAGTTTTCAACTTGCATATCATAACATCCTCTCACTGACAACTTAAGGATCTCCAAGAGTAGTTTGTTTATTTATGAGACATGTAAGCTGCCCCAATCTGTTCTAACTCTGGAAAGCTTAAAGAATACAGTCAATAGAAAAACAAAACAACCAATGACTTAAAAAGAAAGAACTAGGTCATCAAGTGAAAAAATCTGAAAATAACCAATCAAAATATCATGCATGAGCTCCAATTTCCACTCTGATGCAAGGCCTGGAGACAGAGCAAGATTCTAAGGGTTTGTTTAAATAAGGCTATAGAGGCGACCAAATGAATCACAAGAGAATAATGCTCCAGTGGCTGGTCCCATGACAAAGATTAAGTAATTAAGAAATTAATTAACCTCATTAATATATTAAATTTTATCCTGGAGGAGGACAAAGTTAGGATTAGCAGATGCCCACTCCATCCCTTTTAGAAGTCTGAGTTCTCAAAGTTATGTTCAGCCTTTAATAATCTCTCACTTCTATTTGAAGGCTAACCTATATAATATATTTAAATGCCTATTTTCTGGAGACAATTCAGGGTTTATTTTCCCAGTCTCTAATATGAACAGGTAAAGTGATTGAATCTTTAATAAAGTTTGAAAGTTCCCCCTTAATCATTTGCTTTAAAACCCATCATGAATTCTAGAGACTTAAAAAAGAGAAAAAAGGTTTGTTGCTATCAATGCAGATTTCTTGGTGTGTGTGTGTGTGTGTGAGTGTGTGTGTGTGTGTGTGTGTGTGTGTGTGTATGTGTGTGTGTAAAAGCATACTTATTCTAAGGAAATGGCTAAGGGGAGAAAATATAAGTTTCTTCCATCAGCACATAGTGGAATTGCCAAGATCGGATCCAGAACTCTTCATTGTCAGAAAACAACTTCTTGTTATTTATTCAATGTAACAATCTTAGCTTAATGGATTATTAAAACTTAAAGAATTTGGAAGAAAGAGATAAAATAATCGTTGAGGGATGCTCATCTACTATAGATCCACTAACCTCAAACTTAAGAATTCTAATGGAATGTACTGTATATATAATTTACAAGTTCCTATAAAAAAAATCCACTCTTTTGTCAAAGGTGTGAAAGCTTACACTTTAAATATGGCATACAGGGCTAAAGAGAAATGATATTATTAAAATTATATCTATATTGATTCCTATATCTATAGGAATCCATAAATTGGTGATAGTTGCATGTTATATTTCAATGAATGGTGATAATAGAACAATCAGGAGTAAGTTTCAGGTGATGCAGGGGAAAATATTACTGAGATATAAATAACTGAGAATGAGATAAAAGAATACAGAAAAACTGGGCTTTCAGAGATCCAAGAACAAATAAGATTAGTGACTACTTAGTCACTAGATACTAAACAGCTTAGAAGAGGTTGCTTGCTCCAAATGGTTGGTTTAAGCACAATTCTATTCATACATATATGCAGGGCTTTTTTTCTCAAAGAACGCCCAGAACAGAGTTCCGGCACCTTTTTTGGATAGAACCTTGTAGGGTAGGCAAGGCGGGTTGTATGACATGTGTGAGTTTATTTTATTTATTTTATTTTTAAAATTTATAAGCTGCCCCATTCCCGAAGGACTCTGGGCGGCTAACAATAAAAAACACATAAAACATAACAAAACAACAATACAAAAACAATCATCCAGGGGTAAGGTTTTATAAACCCCAGGCCTGCCGGAAAAGCCAGGTCTTAAGTAGCTTACGGAAGACCAACAGGGTGGGAGCGGTCCTAATCTCCGGGGGGAGCTGATTCCAAAGCATGGGCGCCATCACAGAGAAGGCCCTCCTCCGCGGCCCCGCCAAATGGCACTGCTTGGCTGACGGGGCCTGAAGGAGGCCCAGCCTGTGGGATCTAACCGGACGTAGGGAACTATGAGGTACTAGGCGGTCTCGCAAATAGCCTGGCCCTGAGCCATATAGGGTTTTAAAGGTAATGACCAACACCTTGAAT